TCGGGCGGGGGGGGGGGGGGCGGAAACCAAGATGGGGTTCATGTCTGGCTACAGGAGGGTGGGCACTCCAAGAATTTGAAAAGTGCTCCAAGGCTCGTCTGTGATATTAAAGGAGGCAGTGCGGGGTCTGGGATGGAGATTGAGGTAAGGGATGGGAGTGCAGGAAGGGGTGCGGGATCTGCGAGGCAGTGGGGCGCAGGAGGTGGTTGTGACCTGGGGCAAGAGTCTGGGGTTCAGGAGGGGGTGCAGGATCTGAGAGGAGATATGGGTGCAGGAGAGGATTCTGACCTGGAGAAGGTGTGCAGGAAGGAAGTGCAGGGTCTGGGAGGGGTTGTGACCTGGGCAGGAGTGCAGGAGGAGGTGCAGGGGTTTAGGTTGTCACCGAGCATAGGAGATTGGGGTGCAAAGTTTAGGCCCGGGGTGTTGATGTTAGGGTGCCCTCTTTCATAGAATCCTAGAGCTGGAAGAGACCTCAGGAGGTCATCAAGTCCAGCCCCCTGCCCGAGGCAGGACCAATCCCAACTAAATCAACTCAGCCAGGGCTTTGTCAAGCCGAGACTTAAAAACCTCCAGGGATGGAGATTCCACCCCCTCCCTAGGGAACCCATCCCAGTGCTTCACCACCCTCCTAGGGAAATAGTTTTTCTAATATCTAACCTAGACCTCTAACCTTTCCTCCACCCTTGTACCCCATCTCCACAGAGAGGGGGGAAACGACAGGGCTCGGGATGGAGGAAGCTTGCTGACAGCTGCTCCTATGTCTGAACATGCTCAGCATCCTTAAAAGGGCAATGCAAATCTCACACACACTGTCTCTCTCTCCCTCACACACACTCACATGCACACACACAGTCTTTCACACTCATCTCCTGACCCAACACATACTTGTATTGTTAGCACTTTTTCTTCTTTCAAAGTGTGTTATTTTAGGTTTGACTCTTATTTTGCTTGTGGTCCACTGTGACCAGTACTCCTTCCTAGACAGTCACTTCTCATTCTGTTCGTGTGAAACGGATTGTTCCTTCCTAAGTGGAGCATTTTGCATTTGTCCTTATTAAACTTCATCCTATTTAGCTCAGACCATTTCTCCAGTTTGTCCAGATCATTTTGAATTATGACCCTCTCCTCCAAAGCACTTGCAACCCCACCCAGCTTGGTGTCATCTGCAGACTCAGCAAGTATGTTCTCTATGCCATTATTTAAATTGTTGATGAATGATAATGGGATGTGGAGCCTTTGACTTCCAGGGTAATACTGGGGTTTAGCCCTTCAAAATAGGGGCTTTTGTGGTACACGACAGTAGTTAAGATGGACCATTCAGTCTTTCCCAGCCTACTCCATCTTGACAAGATTGCATCAAACTGTGTGTAGATAAATAGGCCTAGCGGCCAAGCTATTCAGAAGTGGCTAGTGATTTTGGGTGCCCAAGTTGAGACAGAGAGTGGGTTCTAGGACTCTGGTGAAATCTGGCCCCTCAGTGTCTCAGAGTGGAGCCTCACAAATCATTAGTCACTCTTGACAGACTTAGCTAGTCTGGCACTTTTCCCCACTAATGCCCCGTTGTCATTTTTTCCTTACATGTGTTTTCACAGTGAGGGTTTTGTTCCCCATGCTGCAGAATTCCCTTCTCTAAAGCATACTATTATCACAATGTTTTACTCTTATTAAACATTTATACTGCAATAGCGATTAGAAGCCCCAAGCAAGATTGGAGCCTGATTATGTTATGTGCTGTATAAACTCCTATCCAGTCACAATCCCTGTCCCAAAAAGCTAGTGATTTAATAATACAGTTCCCCTCAGCTTTGCAGGCATGGAATCTAAACTGTTTATACTAAATTGCTACATTTATTCCCTCTAGTATCAGCTTTATACTCTGTCTTACTCTACATACCAGCCACGCACAGCAGACTAGTTTTTGGTATACCTCATGTCTGGATGCTCGAAAAGGGCCTCTTTAAGCATGCCTAGAATTTCCAGTAAGCTTAATGAAACTTATGTGGACACAGCAAGGGAAGAATAAACCCCTTCTGTCTGATGCTTATAGGAATGAAGATAAACCTGCATGGAGGGGAGCCAGAACTAAACAGACTCCCACCTAGGACCTATACAGGAAGAGAGAGTGTTAAAAGGCAAATGATGTTTTCTCTATTAGATTTTTAATATGTACTCAGGACCCTTATGAAACTTAACAATATGTAGCTTCTCTGCTGTTTGTGAGCCAATTTAACTGTCATTTTTTATTAAAAATGTTAAAGGCTTGGGGTTTTAATATCTTCCTATAACTTTAGTATTAGG